TTCCTGGCCACCATGGTGCCGCCGGGCGTTTACAAGAGGTAGGGTCAGCCCCAGAGGGGATGCCCCAGCTGGGGCGGTGGCCAGGGATGGTCCCTGTCCCTTCCCCGCATCCTGCCCCGCTCTGGGACAGCCAAGCCCTGTCAGCTCGGCACAGCCCCGGCCAGCGGCCGTGGGTCCAGCCCTTCTCTGCTGTTCCAGAGACCACAAGTGCCAGTTCCAGAAAGCGTCCGGCCCCGGTGGCTCATTCCCAGCGGTGCGGCTCTGCAACAGCTACTGGAGCAGAGAGGTACAGGGAAGGGAGCGCGGGGGTCCTGAGGACACGGGAGGGCTTCGTTCCTTGCTTGACGTTAGGGAGAAGCCCACAGCGAGACCTGAAAAGGGAGATTGGGTTGGCGTGACAGCCAACCAAGGGGCGTGAGATCCTCCCCATCCAGACATCCCCGGATACCGCCGCCAGCCGCAGCAGGCTCAGACCTCAGGGTTGAGCTGAGGTGGAGAAAATGAGCCTGGGAGAAATGCCTGGTCCCCCTATGGCCAGGGTCCACAGCCCTACAGGCAGCAGTTCAGGGGTATGGGGCTGCCCCACATCCTCAGTCCTGCGAGGAATCACCTCCTCCTCCCATCTCCCCTCAGAGCACCGGGCTGCAGCAGGCAGAGGCTGTGGACGTGGACAACCTCCTGCTGGGGATGAGCTCGCAGATTGCAGAGCGGGAGGACAACATTGTGGTGGAAGATCTCCAAGGTCTGCGCTCCCCTGCACCGCAGCTGGCACGTCGGTGGGGGACCCCCTGTCCCAGGGATGTGCAGGGGCCACGCTGGGGTGACGGGTCCCATCGCCACAGCCATCAGCACCCAACCACACGCTCGGACCAGCTTCCACCTTGTTAATGGAGGTGCAGAGAAGCTGCAGGGCACGTCAAGCGTGTTACTGGGACCATCACGGCAAGGGCATGGAGATGATCTCCACGTTCATCATGGCCCACGGCAGGGGGATGAGGTCCGAGCCGCCCCTATGAAAAAAAGTTGCTCCTTTGGCTCTGCCTTGCCGCCACCACGGCTTCAAATCCACCCACAGATTACTGGTATGGGCCACTGAAGTACTCCCGCACCGACTACGTGGCCAGCTGGCTTCAGCGCGGGCGAGACCTTGGCCTGCCCACCTATAACCAAGTCCGGGAGCGATTTGGGTTGGAGCCTTGCCGGAACTGGTCGGACCTTGCACCACACCTGGAGCAACAGGTAACAGGGAGCTGGTCTGGGCACAGAAAGTGTATAAGTCAAAGGATGCGGGGGCAGTCCGGGCAGTAACTGGCTTCTCCGGCAACGTAGGAAGCGGGACATCAGCGCGCGTCCTGCCCTAGCTCATTTTCATGCCTGCAGGGCTTGTTGCATTGGGGTAACTGTGTAATTACACGGCATGGATAAATATATCCTGCCCCGGCGCTTAAGCTCCCAGGCTGCTGCGTGCTCCGCTGCTCCTGGAGCGGAGATGCGGCGGGAGTGACGTT